TGCCATGCTGCTTGCAGCCTTGGTTATCCTGTGATGCTCAAATTAGAAAACCAGTTCTATAGGATTATCTTTTTTTCATTAAATTTATAATATTTTTGAAATATTTTCATTTTTCTTATTCTGGCATTTTCAAAGTGTTCTTGAACTCTCAATAGCCTGAACCTTTTGGTTTTTTTTACATTTTTTAAAATCAGTTTTATCTGTTGTGCATTTTTCAGGGAGTGGTTACAAGGCAGCAAGAGAACTGGTATAGACCTGTCATCCAGGATTAATTAGTGATTCATGTCATCCAGTGATTCATGTCTAGATGTCTTACCAGTACACCTGTGGCAGAGTACCCCAGAATGGACCTTTTTCTGACAAAAAGGGCAGTTCTTTCGAACCCCGAACCCCCCTGGCTACAGGCCTGCTACCTGACAGCAGCAGCCAGCAAACAAAGCCACATGTTATCCTTTCCACCTTACTTAACTGCAGGCAATCCGTCAATAGAGAGTGCAGTGAACAAATTACAAATGGTTTAAAATTAACATCTAATATGTAGTATGCATTTTCAACTGAGAACAAAATTATTAAAGGTATTTCTTCATCTGAATCATAAATGATACCAGACAGTACCAGAATCGATATACTGTTTATACTATACTGTTAATATTCCTGTTTATATTCCTCCAATGAAATGTAGATTATGTATTTGTAAAAAACACATGAACTTATTAGCTCTTGGTAGTTTTCATGCAGCCTGGTTTTGGTTGAAATAAAAATTTTCCTCAAGTACTCTTAAATATGAATCTGCATTTAAGTGTGAAACTGAGTGATCCTGATGACCACAGTGTACAGCTCTTCATATCTTTTGTGATCTTATGTGGGCAGTTTACCTCTATGACATATACTAGTATATATATATGAACAGTTCACTTAATAATGTGATGTTCATATAGACCAATATATATGTTGATCATAAAGTTTGTTTATTGTTTACATTGCATAATTTAGTCTTTTACAAAGCCTTTTTCTGTTTTTTTTTCACTTGCAGTAATGAATAAACTTAGAATAGTTATCATTGAAAAGAACATATTGATGGTTTTTTTTCTTTGTCATTTCCTGGGTAAAGTATGAAATGGCAATGTGCACTATTTAACACACATTAGTATTGTAGTGAAGATGTAGATGGCATCCTATTCAAATTGATTATTTTTTATACCACTTGGGTACAGTCTTCTGTTAAGCATTTTTGTAATTCGAGTGTTTAGAAATACTTCTGTGGATTTTTAGTTTATTTCTCTTGAACAATCTCCAAACAGTGAAGGGAAACGTGGAAGGAAGCAATTATTGCAAGTAATTTTTTTTGTTTGTTTGAAATGAAATGCATTTTAAGTATAGCCCGGGAGCCACTGGCTCATATGATGGTTATTTAGGAAAATATTAGATTTGGCCTCGTTTTCAAAAAGGGAGCAGATAGCTCTAAGAAAAAATGGTGGGAGAAGAAGGCATTGAGACAGGTAAGATGTACATATGTTTATACAATGACCAGTTGATTTATATACTAATAAATTCAAAAAGACGATACAGCATATGCTTCAGTTACATTTTATACCCCAAAGGAATATTTGTGCATCGATTTCACTGAGTATTTTCTGAACTTACATTCGTCTTCCAAAATGGCCGCACACAAAGCGGCATTGTAACTGTGTTTTTGAATTGTGCCAAATGTAGATGGACTTTTTCCTTTGTCTGTTCAGGTTTTTCCATAGTTTGACAGTCATTTTTGGACATATAAATTTTTTGAGCATTGACCAAACCGGTAACTTGGTGGTTTTCGATATTTCCAATGAGGTTTATATACTGACAGTCGATGAAAACGCAGAAAACTTTCTTGTACTTTTGTACTCTTGTATTTTTACCTAGAATCGATTCCAACCATATAAACGAGTACAGATGCACTTATTTGGTCAAAAGAGAGTGGGCTGACCACTCGGATGTTTAAAATTTTCACTTTATTGATTTTGTGGTCAGCTGTTACAAAATTGTGTTTTTCCTGTCTCATGATTGGTGTGAATTAATCGGGTTCAATATATGGTGATTAATTAAGCCTATTTAAGGTAGTCACCAAATCCAGTATGACACATGACAAAAAAAGTAATGTGATGCCACGTCTGACACTGGAAGAGCGACTGGGGAGGCTGGGCGGAACCAAAGAAATTTGATCACGTGACCTTGCATTTTAATGATCTTTTCTGATCTTTATTTCACCTTGTGTGACTGAATAATGGGTCATATTTCACACGATAACTTTTCTTAATGTGCCAAAGGAACGTAAAATACTATTCGAAAAATAAATGATGCGTTTTCATTGACTATCAGTATATTTAGCGTATACGTAATCAATTTTTTTTTTTTTTTTTTTTTGAGTGCTAGAGTATCTGCTGGATGTGTCAACAAAACTGTGGTTCTTTAGTTAGGAGAACAGATCCTAATGCTTTTGAGAATATGGCATCGTACATTACATGTATGCATTGTCTTTTTGCCATAACTCTATTTTTGTCTTGCAAGTTGACTGCTATATATGCTCTCGTTCTCTCTCATCACACACAAACTCACACACACACACACACACACCTGCGTACACATGGCTTATTAGTTTGTGAAAGAAAATTGTTTCATGAAATAAAAACCTTATATTTGTAAAACGATTCCTTTGTTTTAAGTTAGAAATATTGTGTATTTTGTGAAACGAAACGTACCAGTACAATAATTAGTGTGATAGTTGTGAACACTAGTTTGTAGACATGTACCCCAGTATGTATTTTCTACCAGCTTTAGTACCAAGATTGTGATTTATTATTTATATTGATTTTAGTGTGTTGTTGTGTGTGTGGAAAGACATTTGCAGTTAGAAAAGGTTTTTATGTTACTTTTTAAAACTTTTTAATTTGATATTTTTCTAGGCTTGAAGAACATGAATGGGACCAGGATTAATCATTTTGCCATTCCTTGGCCTGCAATTATTATGACAGAAGCACCATTTCCAAATGCTGTGTAGCATTGAGCACCGTCACAACCTTTGACATTCTTTTAAGAGATGGAAAATATTTTTGTGCTGTGCTAGCTGATGCTTATAATAATAATATTTATTGATCATCAGTATAACTAGTTAGTCATATTATCTACGCGTAGGTTTGAACCATGCACCAAAAGTAGGGTATATTAAGTTTAATGTACAAGCTTTTGCATACATGACGTGGCTTGTAGACAAAAATTATTCTTATAAAAACAAAATATGGATTGGTACAGGAATAACTTGGTGTCGGTGAGAAAAGAACTGCTGACCTTGGGTAAATTTATAAAATATTATTTGTTAAAATTGGTCCTGTTTTTAAAAGTGGGTGGTGTGTTTGTTGGCTAACTGTATATGTACTAATCTAGATGTGTAAAATAAATCACCATATCAATGTTGCGAAAATAAAAAATAACTTTTTGCCACAAATCTGCATGTATATGAAAGTTGCTCATATGTAAAAAATTTATAAATTGAGTCAATTGATAAAAAGTACTCATTTGTTTTTTGTCTTCATAAAAAGAAACTCATCAATCCGCCTCGTGTAATGGATAAATGCTTATTTACAAAGAAAAAAATGAGATAATTATATTTTCAGTTTTCCCATTCTTCCTGTGCAAGTTTTGTTTCTCAATATAGACAATATTGTGCGTCCAAAACGAAGCTAGATTAGAATGTAAGTCAAAACGAGGCTGGCACATCTGTAGATAAAGTTAAATTTCCGTACATAACGAATCTCTTATACCCTTAATGGCCGAGATATTCCACCTTTTCTGACATCCTATAAATCAAAAAAAAATTCCCATTTCAAAAATCTATAACTTCCGGATTTTTTTAAACCACCTAGCGGCAGACCGGTGGGTCCCGGGCTGGTAATGTTTTTTTGTAAATTTTTAATGGCATACTTTTCCTAGCTTCAGAGCATTTCAAGTATAAATGCTTCTGACACTACAATAGCCCTATTTATTCAATAATACTTATTTTTGAAGTGTATTTTTTCCTTGCCAACAAATTACATTACATGTTTTTAAACAGCTGCACTGGCTTTAAGTTAGAGCACGGGTCTTACTTTAAATTTAAACACAATATTTTACCAATCCCCCAGTCCTTACTGTATTTAGTACAAAAATATATTCTAAATGGTAACTTAAGATCATTTGATAAATAACTTTTTACATCATGTAAATAACCGAATTTGTCTTGAAATAATAGCAAAAAATACATCTTTTCCGTCAATATTGCTCTAACTCCCGGTTTTTATTATCAGTTCTTGGTTTGTCATTCTTAATTTGCAGAGTATAATTTATCTTGATCACCCAGTGTTAGTGTGTGTGTGACGTTCAAATTCACAATGTATTTAAAGAATATTTTAATATTTTTAAAAAAATAAATATTTCGTTGTAGTTTTCCTTATATTATATATGATTGACAGTGTGTTGTATATTACACAATGCAGAAACAGAAATGAAAGGGTACACAGTAAAAACGCGTTCTTGGAAGGGCAGAGAAATATGGGGAAAAAGGGGATCTTTATAAAGTCAAAACATTTTCCGTTTATAAAGTCCGTAAAAAGTGTCTTATTTTTCTTCCAGTAGGCGTTTATATGTGTTCCACAGGCGGTACAAATAACCGCCAACCTGCGCATAGTTACTGTAGGCCTACTCCCGCTCCACCAAGCATTTTCCTCAGCTAGCCTATGGCCCATAAGATATAAAGAGGACCTTTTTTTTTAAAACCATATCGGTCAAGAAACATTTTATTCGTGATGAGACATAAAAAAAACTGAGGCAACTATGCTTGTACCTACATAAATTGTTTCGAATTCCGGGCTGTTGTGCAAATGGACCAAATTTATCCAGAGGGGACATTTTCCCAGCAAACAGAGTTATTTCGAACAGCTCGACACCACCCACCCACCCACCCAACTTGGCTACGAACCTTGGCTACTTAACAGAAAACATTACGGTAGACGAACTACGATCCATCCAAGCTACTCTAGCAGAGATTAAAAGTGAAATGATAAGAAAATCTGACGTTAAGGAAATCATTGCCCAAATGAAACATGAAATCAAGCAGGAGGTGAAGGAGGATATTAAACAAGAAATGCAACAATACTTGACTGATAGACTCAGCCTCCTGAGCGAGAAAATAGATGCCCTATATCTGGAAAACGAATCCCTGCGTGAGAAACTCTCCAAACAAATCAGTGACACAAGGAAGTCCCTTGACAACCTAAAAGAAACCAGCCATTTGGCGAAAACAGCTGTGAGAATGGCAAACCACAACCAGCAGTATTCGCAGAAAAACAACATTAAGTTTTTAAACTGGCCGGAAAAACCAAAAGAAGACCTGAGGAGAGACCTCTGCCGCATCCTGAAGGAAAAGGTGAATGTGGACATAAGCCCCGCCTCAATTCTGGGAATCCACAGAATACCAGGTAACAGCGGTGGCGCAAGACCCGTTATAGCCAAATTCGTTAACACCGAGGAAAAAACGAAAGTTATCAAGCATAGACAAGCACTGAAAGGTAACTTTATAATGTTCGATCACATTACTCAGAAAAATGCTGAGTTGATCAAAATTCTAAAAGGTAAAGAAGCTGTACATTCAGCCTGGTACTTCAATGGCAGAATATTTGCCATAAGAAATGACGGTCGCCGATATACATTCGACATATTCGACGATATCGACACCAAATTAAAACAATAAGCCTGAAAATGAACTTTATACGGACACTGAAATTTTGGACAATAAAAATCAATGTAAAACTGAAAGTAGTTATAAACAGCAGAGCGGTAACTGTTAGCTAGCCGCTCTAGCATCAAATTATTATTATCATTATTATTATCATTATTTTTTTTAATTACTAGTTATTAGTACTATCCTGTGTATGTGTGTGTTTTCGATAGTTTGTCTTGGTGTGTATGTCAATTCTGGTAGAATGGGTACAAGTGGTCTATTGTATGCGTGGGTGGATGGAAGTGAATTTGATAATGCATTATATAGTATAACCGATATATATGTAGTTAAGTTATCCCTATTAGTTTGCAACAACGAAACACTTAGATTTGATACCTCAGTACGATTGCTTTACCTACACTTAGAATATGACTGTGCGATGTAAATTTATTTTCTGTCGTATATACATATGCGGCAGAAACCTGGTAGATATACACAGATCAAATCAAATATTAAAATATGCTCAGTAAATTGTAGGGGTCTTGGGGACCGAAATAAGCGGTTAGATGTGTTCAATTTCTTGCGGAAGAAATCCTTTTCCATCTACTGTTTACAAGATACTCATAGTACATTATCTATGGAAAAATATATAGCAGCTGAATGGGGTTTTAAATGCTTTTTCAGTCATGGAACCTCTAATTCAAGAGGAGTTGCAATACTGGTTAACAATAATTTTGAATATAAAATTAAGGAGGTTGAGAAAGACACTAACGGAAACTTTATTGCTCTTAGTATGATAGTAGATGAAAAAGACATTTCACTCATAAATCTGTATGGTCCCAATAATGATTCACCTGAATTTTTCTTAAAAATACACGAGACAATAATGAATTTTGGAAATCAGGATCATATTATCTGTGGGGACTTTAACTTAGTATTAAACCAAGAGAAGGACACATATAACTATAAACATAAAAATAACCCCAAGGCCTCTAATCAACTTTATACCTTGATGGAATTACATAACTGGCACGACATATGGAGGGAAATGCATGAGGATGTTAGACAGTATACATGGCGGCAGCCTACGCCTTTTAAACAGGCAAGGTTAGATTATTTTATTGTTTCCACAACCATTACAAATTATATCGAAGATAGTCAGATTATTCCAGGTTATAAGAGCGACCACTCCATTATAACTCTGGACTTACAGTTAAAAAGGAAAATTAAACACGGAAAAGGTTTTTGGAAATTCAATAACTCCCACTTATATGAAAGTGAGTATGCCGATATGGTAAAGCAGATAATCAATGAAACTATCTTAGAGTAGCGCCCTATAATAGAGATAACATACTGAATATTGACAGACATTCTTTACAGTTAACTATAAGCGATGGGCTATTTCTTGAAACTCTCTTAATGAAAATTAGGGGAAAACGATTGCTTTTGGTGCTAGGATAAAAAAGAAAAGAGAGTCAGAGGAAAAACAAGTGGAAAATACTATAAACGACCTAGAGAATGATCTTAAAAATGAGGCCGAATTAGACAAAAAAGAAGAAATTCTTGAAATGATAAATAAGGAAAAGATGAAACTGGAAAACATAAGAAAAATAAAAGTAAAAGGCATAATGATAAGATCAAAAGAAAGATGGATAGAATACGGAGAAAAACCATCAAAATACTTTTTAGCACTGGAAAATCGCAATTTTACAAATAAGTCAATAACTAAACTGGTAACAGATAACGGAAATATTCTTACTGAACAAAATGAGATTCTCAAAGAAACCGCACGCTTTTACGAAAATTTATTTAAGAAACAAAATCACAAATCAGTAGACATAAAAACTCGATTGGAAAATATTGAAACTCCAAAATTGACCGAAGCCGAAGCATCCTCGCTCGAAGGAAAGATAAACTACGCTGAACTCTATACAGTATTAAGACAAACGAAAAATGAAAAGAGCCCAGGTACCGACGGGTTTACTTACGAATTTTTCAAATTCTTTTGGAAAGAACTGAATAGTTTTTTAATAAGATGTATAAACGAGGCATACGAAAAAGACAAACTACCTATAACTCTTACCCGGGGTATAATCGTCCTTCTACCTAAACATAATAAGCCTACCAACTCGTTAAAAAACCTAAGACCGATATCACTACTTAATGTTGTGTATAAACTCGCCTCGGCATGTATAACGAATCGAATAAAGAAAGTATTACCAATATTAATAAATGAAGACCAAAATGGGTTTATGGCGGGCAGATACATAGGTGAGAATACACGGACCATTTTCGACTTAATTGAATACTGTGACGCACATGAAATACCAGGTCTGTTGATGCAAATCGATTTTGCTAAGGCTTTCGATTCAATCGACTGGGGTTTTATCGAAAAAACCTTTGAATTCTTTGGCTTTGGAGAATCTATCATAAAATGGATAAAACTCTTCCTTAAAGACTCCTCTTCGTGTGTCTTGGTTAATGGTTTTGCCTCTTCTTTCTTCAATCTTTCTCGGGGTTGCCGTCAGGGGGATCCCATCTCCCCTTACCTTTTCATTCTTTGTGCTGAGATACTAAGTATCATGTTAAAAAATGAAATAGACATAAAAGGCATTACAATACATAATCAAACTTTTCTCATCTCCCAGTATGCTGATGACACAACTATTGTGTTGGATGGGACTGAAAAAAGTTTAAGAAATACCCTAAAGGTTCTAAATGAATTCTCCCAATTTTCTGGACTACAAATGAACAATCAAAAAACTAAATTAAACTGGTTCGGAAGCAAGAAAGACTCACAAGAGAGCATGTGTAAAGAGTTGAATCTCGATTGGAATGAACGTTTTTTCAGAATCCTTGGAATAGATTTCTCAGTAAATTTACATGAAATGATTGAGAAAAATTATAGAGAGAAACTCGAAGATATGGAAAGAACTATGAAACAATGGACTCACCGATCGCTAACAGTTTTGGGGAGAAATGTAATTTTTAAATCACTGATCCTTCCAAAAATGACTCATTTATTTTCCACATTGCCAATACCAAACAAATATGTAGACAAAATACAAAAAATGTGCTTTAATTTCATATGGAATGGAAATATTGAAAGAGTAAAACGAGATATAATGACACAGTCGTACTCAAATGGAGGTATAAAAGTCCCCGATATTAGAAACTATATTGATTCCCTAAAAATTTCATGGCTCAGGAGAATCATGCACAAAAATTCAAAATGGTCTTTCTTTTTCCTTAGTCTGATCCCTGAAAGTAAGGGTGTACACTGGTCTGAAATGGGAATGTCTGAAATGCAAAAAATTAAGAACGGATCAAAAAATGCTTTTTGGAATCAAGTCATTGATGCATGGTGCAGACTGTTAAAGAATAAAAAGATTGATACAAAAGAAAATTTTTTAAAAGAATGTTTATGGCTAAATGATAAAATACGGATAAAAAACAATCCTATTCTTATAAGAACCTGTAATAAAATAGGTATAAGAAACATAAATGACTTGATCGATACAGAGGGAAATTACCTCACATACCAACAGTTCAAGGAAAGGCACGGGAATATAATAAATTATGTTACGTTCACAAGTATACTATGCGCAGTAAAAAAATTTCAAAAACAAATGAATATAGACAATTTACATGAAAAAATTGAGCTCCCTATAATTTCAACCCAACTTAAATGGCTATTAAAATTTACAAAAGGGGGGAAACCTTTTTACAATATTTTGAACTCAAACGAAATGAAAAAGACTAATGCAATGTCAAAATGGGAACTCCTTTCTAAAGAACCTCTCACAGCTGAAGAGTGGAAAATCTTGAATAACATTCCTTTCCAATGTACTTTAGATACTAAACTGCGCTGGTTTCAATTTAGAGTATCAAAAAGAATTTTAGCTACAAATAATTTTTTACGAAAAATTGGGATAAAAGACACAGAGACCTGCTCCTTCTGTAACGAACACCCTGAAACTCTTCAACACTTATTTATTGAGTGCAAAGTAATTGCTCCCCTTTGGGCAAAAATACAAGACTGGATCCATTTAAAGACTGGACTTGTATTACAATTAACAGCATCTGATATAATTCTAGGAATTCCAAATTTGAAATGCAATGCGCTCAACAGTTTGCTGATCATAACAAAATTTATTATATATAAATTTAAAATGAAAAACATTACCCCGAACATAGAAAATATTAAAATAGAATGGAGACAGGCCTACATCGCAGAGAGAAATATAAGTCTGAGAAACATGACAATAGATAAATTTAATGAAAAATGGAAAAAGCTGCAGCCTCTCTTCCTGGAATGATATCTTCTATCTGCGTATGTTCCCCTGCCGATATTTGATAGTAAAACACATATTTGTTTTTATCTGTATTAGATCATATTATTTATTAAGTATTATTAAGTATTTTACTATTAGGTTATCAATATATCGTTGTTGACATATATATTAAATGACACAGTAACTATATATATATATATATATTGCAAATGACTGAGTGTCTCTTTGTGAGTGAGTGAGTGAGTGAGAGAGTGAGTGTGATTTTTATTTAGTTATTTATAAATTTTGTATTTTTTGCTGAAATCTGTACTTATTTGAGATATGCAATAAAAAAAAAAAAAAAAAACTTGGCTACGAACCCGATTATGGGTACTGACACCTAAAATTCGTTGAGATTCGGATTCGGATTTTGTCTTCGGAAAATGGAACATTAAGACCCCATTCCCACAGATTTTAGATCGATCTATCCCTGTGGGGAGTCTCACTAGATTACTGTCAGCTTAGGAGGCTTAAATGTCTGTCCCGCCTACTAAAAGCTGCAAGGGGGTAATTAACTACCGTGTGCGCTCAGCTGACAGCAATTTAGCGTGAACCCCCAGGGAGTTAGGTCGATCTAGATGGATTGATCTAAATCTATGGGAATGCACTCTAAGTGACACCGTTTCAAAATAATCGTTATCTTATTCATTTATCTTTTCATCACCATCACTGGCGGACCTGGAGAAGGCCACGGGGAGGGGCAGGGTGGGGTCAATACACACTCTACACATCAGGACTTGACTTTTTAATGAGGGCAATGGGTCAGTCTTGGCTGTTTACATGTTTCTCGGACAATCCCTTTAAGACACCCCCCCCCACCTTCCCTGAAAAAATACTCTGGTTTTGAATTATCTATATTATACATCTGATCCATTAAAACATTTCTTGCTTACCCACCTCTTTCGGAAGACAGAATTTTATTAAAAGCAGGGATTTATCATTTTTCTCAATATCACAGTTTCATTCTCATTATTATATTCATTACAGGGGGAATGTCCGGGAGGGGGGGAATGTCCGGGAGGGGGGGGGGTGTCCTGATTACCTGGATAGATTTTTACGCTCTAAGATTATCTAATGACGAGGATGAAATAAGAACATTTCAAATAATACGTCCATGAAATTTCTTTTGGAAGGATTAAGAAATTTAAGTTGACTTATCAACTCAATCATTTATGGCAGCAGTTTCAATAAAATTTTGTACAGCGTATTTGCAAATGAAGCGTTACGCGTGTTTCGACAGTGATTTCCTTGGTAGATACTCAGGTGAGCTGCCGAGGTCTATTAGTCTGTGGTTTGGGACAAGTTGAAGGCAGAATCCATGGACATGATCCCAGAGCTGTGGTTATCTGTCGCTGGGATCGTGAACTAAACGTTATCTGAAACAGACATGGAAACAAAACTTAAAATTCCGCTGATACACACCATTATTCAATCTTGCGTTTTAATAAAACGTGATCACATCTCTTAATTGATCTAGCCTGTGTAAACAACATAAAGAACAGTTCTCTAATATTCAGAGACAAAGTTCGGTGTTTCGAATTTTATATAGTATTGAAAACATGCATGAACAGTTTCGGACAAAGTTCACAATTTCACACTTGTTTTAATCCAGACACGAAGTCTATTTTTTGAGAAAAGATATGGCTTCAATAAATCAACCCGTGTGAATACATCATCAAAAATTTAATTTAAATACGTATTCAAATCAGCGTTATAAACAGCGCATGGATAATTTTATAGCTGATAACAACGAGGTATTAAATTCTTATGAACTCGATATATCGATATAAGAATGTCAGTTGGGAAGCATTTTCTCTCACACAAAAGAATCATCAAGACAAATGTGAAAAATGGAAAGTGATAACAACGCGTGCAGCCTAGCTGCAACCAGAGCCCTCATTCCATGCAGAGGGGTTTCTGAGAGTATGATCCAGAATTGTGATACACGCATTAGTCAGAGCTTGCCCAAGCTCGTGCCGATTTGTAGTG